GGTGGTTCGGTGGCTGGAAGGCAGTACGAAGGTCGCGAGCAAAATTGTCCCAGTCATCAAAGACATTGACTCGGTTGGCAGCCTGTGCCTCTTGTACTTTATTGAGATACCAATGCAGAGCGGCATCTTCTAACCCAGTGACAGCATACTGTATGTGTGTTTGTGGCTCTGCGATACCTTGTGCTATGAAAATATTAAGGCATTGTAGCATCCAAGTAATAACATTCTCCTCTAGGACTCCCTTATATGTAGGAATCCTGACGGAGATTTTGGGGGCAGCAACACCTTGTTGTTGTTGTGGGGCGGAAGCTTGTAATTGTCCCAATCCTTGGGCGAGGGCTGCCATAAATTCTTGAAATTGCGTTCTATCTATCACAACAGAATTTGAAGATGTATTAATGGGGAACCCTATCCCTATTGCCAAGATATTGGGCGAAAAACAAGAGGCATACGTCTATGGAAATATAAACACCGATAAATCTTTAATTTTCCTGTGCAACGCTGATGAAAAAGAAGCGAAACAAATATCCTTTGGTAAAATTTTATGGAACCTTCCTAGATGGTCCATCAGCATACTACAGGGGACCAACGGCTCACTTAACCTCCTGATGAATACGGCAATCATTGGATCATCCAAAGACTCTCCCGGTCAATTGGTGTTTAGGAAACTTCCTGCAAGTGTTGTGGATTCAAAATCATTTGCCTGGTTGTCGGAGCCCATTCCAATGTCTTCAGATGAATGCGACAAGAAAACAAAACGTCCACCACCGCAGGTTGTGACCACACAAGACACTACCGATTACATGTGGCTAGTGACGCGATTGGTAATCAAAGATGAAAAAGAGAAGGAAAAAAACCATAAATTCAATCTCAAGTTATTCAATGTTGGTGATGTGGGTACAGTTTACATAGATGGAAAGAGACAATCAATGTATCAAGGGGGATATCAGGTGGATGTGCCATTGGATATTGAAAAAAAACGTGATACGTCTGAAGAAACCGCAATAACAACAGGAGGAAACAAGAAACACGTCTTTACATTACAGATCTTAAATGGTTTGATGGGATTACCGCATATCATGACTCACATGGAAAACTATGAACAAGGAATCTTGGGAGACGTGTATATTAATGAAGAAGACATTACTTACGTGGGTTGGGGAGTCAACGCTGGACTTATTGGCGAAAAGAAACGCTATTTTGATCCGACCACGCACTCTGCCATCCCGTGGAAGAGTATGAATGCTGAAAGGACATCCCCTGTGACCATCGATACTTCAAAGATCCAACACGGAGGTCCAATGTGGTATACGTTCCAATTCACTTTGCCAGAAGAATATCACGATGTCACATGTACCGAAGATGCGCTTCCTCCGATCGCTCTAGATCTCATGTCGATGAGGAAGGGTAATGTTTGGGTTAATGGACGACATCTCGGGAGATACTGGCTAGAGCTTGCCACACGTCCCACCGATCTGCGTGCACGAGAGGATCAAGACTATGCCGGGTGGTATGATCCACATAAAAAGTGTAGGATAGGATACGATGTTCCATCACAACGGTATTACCACATCCCTCTGGAGTGGATAAAGCGTGGTGGAAAAGACCGGAAAAACTGCGTGGTTTTGTTTGAGGAATGGACAGGAGATCCTTGCGAGATTCGTATCGTGCAGCGCGTGTTGTGTAATAAGTGTGAATCTAATGAAATTTGTGTTCATGGGATGGCTTGATAAAGAACTCTATTCTTATAATTAAGTTTAAATATTTTGTACATCTATTTATGAATAAATCCATTTTTATTATATAATTATATTCTTCCAAATTTAATCAACTTGTAATTAAAATTTTTATTTTATTTTTTATAACTCACCTGTCATTGAAAAACTATTTTCTAGATGCAACTTAGGGAATAATATTTCACTTCTTTGTTGATTTGGATAAGTCCTTAAACCAATAAAATTATTGCCTATAGGTCATTACTATAGATCATTTTAAATTCTGTCTGCAGTTAAAAACCAAGCCATTTGATTTTATGATAAACTCATTTCTTAATAATTTTTGTATAGTCTTTTTTTTTTTTTTTTTTTTTACATTTTCTTAATCCAACTTTTTTAGAGATCCCATGGGTTTCTTATAATTTTGCCTGGTTTGTGTATTAAGTTTATATCTGAATTTTCTTATTCTTTTTTCTTTTTTGATAATATTTTACTTCTTTTTCTATTCTATTATTTTGATACAATAGCTGTTTCAGATCTTTTTTTTGAAGTCTTTCTATATCTTTTGGTAAAACTTGCTAAGTATATTATGTATTGATATCAATAAAATTTTAAACTGATTTTTGAAATAACTCTTCAAGAAAATAGACTTGTCTTCTTTTATATATTCATAAATAGTATGGAAAAAACTTCTGTCAAATTGTTAAATCACATTCAATTATTTATCAGTCTATTTATCAATTACAAACTAAATTTTCTTCATATCTTTTATTTCTTTATTAATATAATAACTAAATTTTTCATTTGCTTTTTACTATATATCTTTCTTAACTTCTTTAGTAATTAAATATTTAAAAAGATGTTCTAAAGTTTTCTTTTGAAATTTACATACTGGACAAATTGTTATAATATAAATATTTGATTTTCTTTTTTTGAGTATCTACAGTACTGGCAATTTATTATATATTAGATTAATTAGAAAACTTTGTTATTATTGACTTTAAAGAAGGTATCAAAGATATTAAATAGATTAAACTATTTTCAGAATATTGATCAATCTATAGTTATATTATTTTGGATCTAGAAATCTAGATTTCTCTTCTATATTATTCAATCTACTCCAATTCTCTTTCTATTAAATTTTTTGATAAAGTCTTTAATATTAATTTCAATTATATATTTTTTCTATATAACTATTGCTAGAACTTTTTTTAACTCTAATAATTGATACTAGCTTATTGGATTCTTCTGTCTAATTTGTTTAACAAAAAAATCTATCTAATTATTAAATTTGTTAATTCCATAAACCTTGATCTTCATAATTTTCAAGATAATATTTTTCTTCTTGACTAGATCTTTAATTTTATCTATAATAGTCAATTTGTATTTTTTGTTTATTTTCTTATTGATATTTTTATTTGTGAAAAAATAAATTTTTATGTTTTGATTGTAATACTACAATTAATGAAAATTGTGACTATTGTATTTTGAGGAACTGCATGCAATACTATAATATTTTTGTTTTGATTATGAATAATTATATTAATACTTTTACTGAAAATTACTTAGTTATTCTATTATTTTTTATTAAAATATATCTCTAGTTTACTATCTTTTGCCTATTTTTTATAGACGCTATCTATATAAAATATGAACTGATTAATTATATTTATTCTATTGTATTTTAGACTATTTATAAATTCATCTCTATATTCTTCTAATTGGATAGCTTGTTTAATTAATATAATGTTTCAGTTTTTTACCCGAATTTTTACTTCTATAGATCTGATAATTGATGATATAATTACTATTTATTGAGTCATGATTATCTGCCAGTTTGTAAAATTATCTGATAAAAGAATTTGTTTTTCTTTTTTCAAATTCTTGTATGTAACAAATCCGCGCCTGTCCCCATCAATTCTGTGTAAGTATACATGACTCTGTGTGACTATGGACCTGAAGTCCGCCCTGTCTACTATTTTTGGACT